GTGCAGTGGCACAATCTTGGCTCCCTGCAACCTCTGCCTCCTGGGTTCAAGCAAGTCTCCTGCCTCAGCCTCCCAAGTAGCTGGGACTACAGGCATGTACGCCCTGCTAATTTTTCCATTTTTAGTAGAGATGGGGTTTCACTATGTTGACCAGGATGGTCTTGATCTCTTGACCTTGTGATCCGCCCACCTCGGCCTCCCAAAGTGCTAGGATTATAGGCATGAGCCACCACCACGCCGGGCTGGAAGTGGTAATACATTTTTAAGGAAAGAAATCTCTAGTGATTTAAAGTTTATCACAGTGGGTGGGGCAGGCGGGCTCCAAATGAATACTTGTTATATTTATTCTGACCCGTGTTTTGAAACAAGAAAACTTGCTCAAATACTGAGGAGAAACAACTCAATTTGAAAAGTTAAGGAAAATTTGAGGAGAAATGAAGGTTCAGAAGAGTGATATAGTTACCCATGGTTCTGTCTTCTACAATTCTTGTCTCGTTTTTGTTATGTATGTTTCTTAACTTCAACTGTATAATATGGAAATTTTCCAGAATTAGTATTTAGATAATCAGTCATTGTTATATTTGGTATAAAATTCCTCAAGTCTTTTGGCTTCTATTAATTCATTTTTCTGATGTAATGCATCAGATTAAGAAGCTCTAGGGAGATATAAAAGTAAAATCAAAGCAAAGAGTGCAGATAAATCATCTGATTACAACTCTCCCCACCCTGCTTTATTTTTCATTTTAGGGCTTTTATCGTTGTTTTTGCTTAGTTTATCTGAGTTAACTAGCAATAAACTGTAGTTTAATACATAGATTTTTCAGGGTGTTTTATGTAATTTTCCATCTTCTAGTCATCTATACTTTTACAAATTATTCCATTCTGAAATATTTCAGGAAGAAAGTAATGTTTTCCTTTGCTATGTTTCAGGCTAATGGAACTTTAAACCCAGTCTGTTTTCCTAGAAAAGCAGGTATTTGTTTTTTTTCCAGAGAAATGAGCTAGATGCTTGGAAGTATGGTCCTTAATCAGAAACCGTATGACTTGAAGCTCTGCTGGAGCCTGACCCCCTCATTCAAGGCTGCTCAAAGACAGAGCTTAAGAAAAGTCACAGCTGTCTTGTTAATTACAATTTCGGTAAATAAGGTTTCCTAACATCAAGCCTGTTTTTAGTTAGTCTGCCTTAATTCATGGGCCATGAATTATTTCCTATAAATCTTTATTTCGAGAGCTGAAAACATTTCTGAAAGGTACCATGAAGCATCGTCCCATAGTCCATTACAGGGCGAGAGGCCAGGACAGGACTCATCAAGACATCAGTATGAGAAGGCAGAACTCGGCACAGTGGAAATATTTTGTGCTAGAAGCACTTTGTCACTTTGTCCCACTTACTCAGTCTTTTTAGGAGAGTTGTAATACAGACCAAAAGCCTCCCTTTTATTGTAGCAGTCTTTCAGTAAGGCAGAACAGTGGCTTTGATTTGAGAAATTATCACCTATAAAACACTCTTACAGGTACTTCAGCTTACAGGTCAAGAAAATGGTTTAGTTGTCAAAAAACAGAGCTTGCGGCCTTTTGAACTATTTATTGACTACTTGAAATGTATATAAAGATTGCTTTCCATGACAAAGATGGGCAGGAAAAGTGTCCTTTACCAAATGAGGGAAATGGAAATTGGATGTGAGGAATATCTTTCTGGCTGTGTTGCACCAAGCCCAGCCAACCATTTAGAAAAATAATTCATCAGCCAGTAAGGCAGCTCCAACTCTAGACACATTTATCCAAACAAGGAGATAAGCCAAATAGGGCTTCAGCACATTTGGTTAGAAAACACACAAACTACCCTGCCAGAAGGAGCTCCAGGGTTCACAGCAGGCTTTCAAACAGTGTGTTCCATGGTGACAGATTTTTATTTTTAAAGCACTTTAACCTCACGACCCTTAAACTTTATGTTGAATTCAGACCTGATATAAGTGTAATAAAAGTTCTCAAGGCATCAGAAAAGGATGGCGTGAACTGTGGCCACATTTCAGTGTGCTGTTTCTAATGGTACTTGAATTGCTGGGCTCTGGGCTCTCTGCTGCCTCAATCCATCATCAGACCACGCAGACACAGCAGAATTATCTGCACCATTCACTGAAGTCATAGACTTCCTTTAAGAAATTCACCAGGGGCCGGGCGCGGTGGCTCAAGCCTGTAATCCCAGCACTGTGGGAGGCCGAGGCGGGTGGATCACGAGGTCAAGAGATCGAGACCATCCTGGTCAACATGGTGAAACCCCGTCTCTACTAAAAATACAAAAAATTAGCTGGGCATGGTGGCGCGTGCCTGTAATCCCAGGGACTCAGGAGGCTGGGGCAGGAGAATTGCCTGAACCCGGGAGGCGGAGGTTGCAGTGAGCCGGGTACGCGCCAGTGCACCCAAGCCTGGGTAAAAAAAGCGAAACCCCGTTCCAAAAAAAAAAAAAAAAAAAAAAAATTCACCAGGGCCGGGTCCGGTGGTTCATGCCTGTAATTCCAGCACTTTGGAAGGCCAAGGCCAGAGAATCATGAGGTCAAGAGACTGAGATCATCCTGGCCAACATGGTGAAACCCCATCTGTACTAAAAATACAAAAATTAGCTAGGCATGGTGGCCCACGCCTGAAATCCCAGCTACTTGGGAGGCTGAGGCAGGAGAATCACTTGAACCTGGGAGGCAGAGGTTGCAGTCAGCTGAGATAGCACCACTGCACTCTCGCAACAGAGCAAACTCCATCTCAAAAAAAAAAAGAAGTTCACCAAGCCGGGTGCAGTGGCTCACGTCTGTAATCCTAGCACTTTGGGAGGCCGAGGCTAGCAGATTTCCTGAGTTCAGGAGTTCGAGACTAGCCTGGGCAACACGGTGAAACCCCGTCTCTACTAAAATACAGAAACTAAGCGGAGCGTGGCGGTGGGCGCCTGTAGTCCCAGCTACTCGGGAGGCTGAGGCAGGAGAATTATTTGAACCTGGGAGGCGGAGGTTGCAGTGAGCTGAGGTCGCGCCACTGCACTCCAGACGGGACGACAGAGTGAAACTGTATCCAAAAAAAAAAGTTCACCAAACCTAAATCTTAGTGGTTACATATCCTGAAGTACACTTACGCAAACCACTCCAGTCTATGCCCCCAAAAAGACCCGGAAGAAGTTGAGGGAAGCTATTTGGTATATTACTGTCCCCTCACAATTTAAAGTTGATCTTTTCTCAAACTTATTTCAGCCGCATTAACACTGGGACCTGTAGTTTGGCAATGCTGCCAGCAGGTGGAGGTGGTGTCTAAATCACTGGTCTCACCTAAGTGCGGTGGTGCTTTCCCTCCCTCCCTGGACAAAGCCCTCAGATTTCTAACCAGGCGTTTTCCAGTTACTTGTTTAGTAATTATTAGCAATGATAAAGACAGTAATAACAATAACAAAATACCTGCTTAAAATAGCTCACATATTATTTTCTAAATATGTGTAAGACATTATGGGACTTGGGGTCATTTTTTTTTTCTTTCTTTCTTTTGAGACAGAGTATCGCCATGTCACCCAGGCTGGAGTGCAGTGGCGTGATCACGGCTCACTACAACCTCTGTCTCCTGGGTTCAAGTGACTCTCCTGCCTCAGCCTCCCAAGTAGCTGGGATTACAGGTGCCCACCACAATGCCCGGCTAAGTTTTGTGTTTTTAGTACAGATGGGGTTTCACCATGTTGCCCAGGCTGGTCTCAAACTCCTGTGCTCAAGTGATCCACCTGCTTCGGTCTCCCAAAGTGCTGGGATTACAGGTGTGAGCCACCACACCTGGCCTCTTTTAATTTTTAAAAATGTGTGCTTCTGGTATCTTCTGTGAAAATAAAAAAAAAAAAAAATTAAGCGTGCTTCTTTGTTTGGGCTCTTTATGTAATAAACATGTATTAGTCATTTTTAAAAGGGAAAAATGAAACTATCACTTGTTTTCAGAAATACACTGTAGAAGAACTTCTAAAGAAACACACAGGTCCCAGGGGTATTTTTGTCTTGTCAAGAGCTACAGCTTGATGACCGGCAGAATATTTAGTATCTCTGGCCACTTATCTAGCAGTGGCAGAGGATCTGCTTTCTGTCACAGACATGACAATCACTTCCTCCTATCTTTTTCTTTTTCTTAGAGACAGTGTCTTGCTCTGTCACTCAGGCTGGAGCACAGTGTGGTGCAATCATAGTTCCCTGTAGCCTCAAACCCCTAGACTCAAGCAATCCTCCTGCCTCAGCCTCTCAAGTAGTTGGGACCACACACAGGTGCACCCCACTATACCTGGCCAATTTTCTTTTTAAGTTTTCCATTTTGGAGAGAAGGGGTTCTGACTTGTTGCCCAGGCTGGTCTGAAGCTCCTTGCCTTAAGTAGTCCTCCCACCTAAGCCTCCCAAAGTGCTGGGATTACAGGTGTGAGCCACTTTGATCAGCCCTGTATCTAAGATTTTTAAAGCTAGTTATGAGGCCGGGCGCAGTGGCTCAAGCCTGTAATCCCAGCACTTTGGGAGGCCGAGGCGGGTGGATCACAAGGTCAAGAGATCAAGACCATCCTGGTCAACATGGTGAAACCCCGTCTCTACTAAAAATACAAAAAATTAGCTGGGCCTGGTGGCGCGTGCCTATAATCCCAGCTACTCAGGAGGCTGAGGAAGGAGAATTGCCTGAACCCGGGAGGCGGAGGTTGTGGTAAGCCGAGATCGCGCCATTGCACTCCAGCCTGGGTAAGGAGCGAAACTCCGTCTCAAAAAAAAAAAAAAAAAAAAAAATAACAAAAAAAAAAAAAAAAAAAAAAAAAAAAAGCTAGTTATGGAAAATACTTTCATTGATCTTCTTACTGTCTGATCATGTGGTGTAGAATTTTTCCCCTTGGCTAACAGGAGGTATTACCCTGATACCTGAGTAGAGCAGCAAAGCAGTTCTTGATCTTCTGTGTCCCAGATCAGAATTAGTTATTTTGCTTACTATGAAAAAGCTATGTTTCCCGGGCAGCTGCCAAAGGTGGCGGAGGTGCAGGTCCTGGTGCTCGATGGTCGAGGCCATCTCCTGGGCTGCCTGGCGGCCATCGTGGCTAAGCAGGTACTGCTGGGCCAGAAGATGGTGGTCGTGTACCGGAGGGCATCAACATTTCTGGCAATTTCTATAGAAACAAGTTGAAGTACCTACCTTTCCTCTGCAAGAGGATGAACACCAACCCTTCCCTAGGCCCCTACCACTTCCAAGCCCCCACCACTTCCAGGCCCCCAGCCACATCTTCTGGTGGACCGTGGCAGGCATGCTTTCCCACCAGACCAAGCAAGGCCAGGCTGCCCTGGACCGCCTCAAGGTGTTTGACCACATCCCACCGCCCTGCAACAAGAAAAAGTGGATGGTGGTTCCCGCAGCCCTCAAGGTCGTGCATCTGAAGCCTACAAGAAAGTTTGCCTATCTGGGGCACCTGGCTCAGGAGGTTGGCTGGAAGTACCAGGCAGTGACAGCCACCCTGGAGGAGAAGAGGAATGAGAAAGCCAAGATCCACTACCCAAAGAAGAAACAGCCCATGAGGCTACGGAAACAGGCCGAGAAGAACGTGGAGAAGAAAACTGACAAATACACAGAAGTCTAGACCTACGGACTCCTGCTCTGAGCCCAAGAAAGACTGTTAATTCCTCAAAAACAAGAAAAAGAAAAAAGTGATGTGTTAGCTCTTAGTAGTAAATATAATCTCCCATTTTTAGGAGCCATGGTCTAGACCCCATGATCTCTCTTTCAAACATTATTTCATGTAATCCACATTTCACCCCAATGAAGTAGGTTGTTACAAATGTCTTCTTTTTATAGATGAGAAAACAAACCTTTGTGAGAGTAAACACGTAGCCTTTAGGTGATAGAGTCCAGTGTCTAGACTTTCTAGACAAGGGGGTGTGGGGCTGGCTGGGGCTTTGATTACAAAGAACCTAAAAGAGGCAGATTGTGTCCTGTTATCATAGAATATTTTGACGTAAAATATAAACCTGGTATGGTGCAAACTACAAATTTCAGTTGGTTCCCACAGCTGGAAGCCTTACAATTTCTCCTTTAAAAGGAATCCATTGCTCATTTCCCTGTTGTTTAGGGCCTCAGCCCCAAAAGTGGTGATGTCTAAATGCCATTATTAAAGGATCTGTGAAATAAAATATGGCATATTAATATGATATGAGATACTTTTCAGCCATTAAAAAGAATATCTATCTAGACATATGGAAAAAGTACCATGAAATCAGCAAATTGCAGAAGTACTGTTTCTTGGTTGGAAAGAAGTGTGTGCTTGAAATGCATATTTTTCTTTAAATTGTATTTATTTTAAAAATTTTAATGAGATATAGCTTATATGGAGTGATAGTTACAGATTTTTTTTTTTTTTTTTGAGGTGGAGTCTTGTTCTGTCACCCAGGCTGGAGTGCAGTCGTGTGATCTTGGCTCACTGCAGCATCTGCCTCCCAGGTTCAAGTGATCCTCCCACCTCAGCCTCCCGAGTAGCTGGGACCACAGACGTGCACCACTAAGCCCGACTAATTTTTTTGTATATTTTGTAGAGATGGGGTTTCACCATGTTAGCGAGGCTGTTCTCTAACTCCTGACCTCAAATGAGGTCACTTGGCCTCCCAAAGTGCTGGGATTACAGGCATGAGCTACCACCCCCAGCAATATTTACAGATCTTAAATATACAGTGGAGCTCACATCTAGAATAATGTACCCCAAACTTTTAAGAATATTTACCTCTAGGGAATGAAATTAGCATAAGATCTTTCACTTTTTGCTTTGTTTGAATTTTTTGTAATAATCATGTTTTATATAAATATGTATATCTGTGTGAATATGTGTGTATGTATGCATATATATTTTTTGTTTGTTTTAAAGAAAAGATTAGATGCACTCATTTATACTCATGTTCAACTTGAGAAGCTTCCCAGGGATCTCAGAGATCCATCCCATCTTCTATCCTGAAATCTTCCATCCTGAATAGGAGAATTTCTCTGGGAAATTTTACTTTAACAGCTGAAGATTTGGGGAGCCAGAAGTGACTGAGAGATGCCAAGGCCACTGTCCTGTTATTTCTTACCAGACTGTGCATCCTGGTAAGAAATGTTGGGATGTTGGACCGAGCATCCTGTTTTAGGCCCCCACCCTCCTTATCAATCCCCAGCAATTCCTTGTCAGGAAAAATAATGTGTCCCTGAGGTTCTCTCCAAGTCTCTGGGCACCAGAAACGCCTCTTTATTTATTTTAGTACATTTGTGAATGAGTGTATATTAAGCATTCTCAGTTTTCAAGATAAGCTCAAAAGGACAAAAATAACCTGTATTTATTTTTGTTGCCCATAATGTATAGTGAGGCATCTCAGCTGTCATAGGCAGATAATTATGAATTGACAATTTATATAATTAGGTGGGACACAGTGGCTCACGCCTATAATCCCAGCACTTTGGGAGGCTGAGGCGACAGGATTTCTTGATGCCAAGTGTTCAAGGCCAGCCTGGGCAACACAGTGAGAATGAGACCCTATCTCTCAAAAGTAGCTGGATGTGGTGGTGTGTGCCTGTAGTTCCAGCTATTTGAGAGGCTGAGGCAAGAGGATTGCTTGAGCCCAGGAATTGAAGGCTGCAGGGAGTTATGATCACGCTACTACACTCTGGCGTGGGTGACAGAATGAGACCCTGTCTCTAAAAAAAAAAAAACAAAAACAATTTACACAATTGAATACTGAATTTCTTGGACAGTGTCACTTTCCTAATCCCCAACCCCTTCTGTCAACACTTCTGTGCACCCTCCCTTATTTCAGAGTCAGTTACTTCACCTGCACTTGTTTACCCATAAAAGCTGCATTGGTATTGAGGGGTGCGTGGGATGGATATTGGAGAGAGGCTAAAGGAGGGTGTGTTTTCTCATCAGTGGTTTCATTATCACCAGAACCCTCAGCCTGTGGTAGATAAAGCTGGGAGGGAGTGTGTTAGCATTCCAGGCTCAGGGTGGGGTAGGTAGTGCTGGTGAAGTGGGAGTGCTGGTGAAGAGGGCTCTGGCTGTTCCCTTTGATTTGAGACTGGAGGCATCGCCTCAGGGCTCCCCACGCCAAAGTCTTAGGACTCCAGTGATCACCTTTGGGTCCTTCTGCTGCCTCCCTTTAACCTTTTCGGCTTTCACTGGTTTAAATCATATCCTAGGCCAGACAGCAGAAACTGTGCCTCCTTTCAGTGGGTGTGCTCGTAATAGGAACACTGACAGAGGAACAAAGCTGTTAGATCCCGTAGTTTCTGACTTCTGTCCACCCATATTTCTCCTTTTTTTTGAGACAGAGTCTTGCTCTGTCACCCAGGCTGGAGTACAGTGTCATGATCTCAGCTCACTGCAGACTCTGCCTCCTGGGTTCACACGATTCTCCTGCCTCAGCCTCCCAAGTAGCTGGGACTACAGGCACACACCGTCGTCCAGCTAATTTTAGTATTTTTTGGTAGAGATGGGGTTTTGCCATGTTGGCCAGGCTGGTTTTGAACTCCTGACCTCAAGCAATCTGCCCACCTCAGTCTCCATATTTCTTCTTAATTATGTAATAAAAAGACTAATTCTGAGGTACTCTCACATAAGAAAGCAGCACATCTTAAGCAAAGAGAGCCTTCCCTTTCCAAGGGAAAAGAAGGAATTTTTATTGCCAACTTTGTGTTACATACTGTGTCTCCAGCGTTATCGCCCCTAACCCTTGCAGCAACCCTGTGGGACTGGTGTTGTCATCACCTCTGTTTCACTGCTGAAATCACGGGAAGCCTTCGAGAGGAGGCTGAGCCAGAGCTGTCTGGCTCTAGCGCCTGTGCCATTTCACTCACATTGGCTTGCAACTTGGCCCTGACTACTGATGATAAGCTCAGGAGATAATATCTGTAAAGTACCTAGCTTGGTGCCTGGCACATACTTAGAAAATGTTTCTCCCAACAGCCTCACCCATCCTCAGCACCTCCCACTCTCCTGTTAGAAGCATAGCCTCCACCAATAATTTCTTCTCCAACTATTTTTAACAGGACCTCGGACAGTGGTCCACCCTAAAGCACGAATTATTGCGGAAGCCGGGCCAATAGTGATTGGCGAAGGGAACCTGATAGAAGAACAGGCCCTTATCATAAATGCGTGAGTAAGACTCTTACACATACTGTGAACCAAGTACCATGGGTAATGTTTTTTGTTAATTTCAGCTGTCTGTAAGAACCTTTTCAAGTGATATCCAGAAGGCCTACTATTTTAGAGCTAGAGAAACATTAAGGGTCTCTTTTGTAAGTAAATGACCAAACTGAAAACCAGATGGGGGAAAAGACTTGTCCAAGATGAGAGAACTGAGTAGCTGCCTAGATTTCTGATGCTGGATCTGATCATCTTCCCCTTACATGTGGCTTTCTCACCCATTCCTCAAGCAAACATTCCCCGAGCACTTCCACCTCCAAGTGCTGCGCTCACCACCCTGCAGAGAGGTATTTTTGGGGATTGGTTCTGACCAAAATTTTATTACTCATGCCTTAAACACATGAATTTAACTCTAATATATATCTTCAAATGTTTTGCACAGGTGACACCCAGAATTATAATTGAAAAATGTGGAGTCCTAGAGGCAATTTTTAAACTGTAAAGATTAAAAAATAAGAAAATACTAGAACATGTACATGATCATAGTGAACTAGACTATAATACCTATGAATTTTTCATAAACATTTATAAGTTCTTTCTAGATAAAATTTTGGCAAGAAATTCAAGCTTATACCTAATTTATAGCAACCACATATGGAATTTGTAAGAAAGACCTTGGGAAAATATTTAACTGTCAGAAAAAGACTGATTTAATGCTTACTTAGGATTTAAAATACATTTGGCACCTTCAGTGTAAGTCAATTAACAGCAGCCATATTCTGCAGTAACTCAACTGTCAGAGATAAATCACCATTTAAAAATGGCTTTCTCCTCTTAGAACACAAACATTTTATCTTCCAAATATTTCAACTAACTAAGAGCAAATAATTATTTTATGTGACTATCTGTTTATGTTTCACAATCTCAAATGATTATTAAGGATGGAAAATTTTCAAGTTAGGCATGATTTTTATTGTAATTAACAGCCTAAAAATATAGCTAGCATCTTTTTTCCTTTGTCCTGAAGAAGACCCTCTGGACTTTGAATTTAAAAAATACACTAAGGTAGGCTGTTCTTCTCTACATACCATGACTTCTTCACTTTTCAGTAGCTCTCTTCAATTCAAAATCAAGCCTTCTCTAGCATACAGGATGAATGAATCACTTGAATTAAGAAATAATTTACATAGGCCGGGCACAGTGGCTCATGCCTGTAATTCCAGCACTTTGGAAGGCCCTGGTGGGTGGATCACCTGAGGTCAGGAGTTAGAGACCAGCCTGGGCAACATGGGGAAACCCCATCTCTACAAAAATACAAAAATTAGCCAGGCTTGTTAGCACACACCTGTAGTCCCAGCTACTCAGGAAGCTAAGGCAGGAAAATTGCTTGAACTTGGGAGACAGAGTTTGCAGTAAGCCAAGATGATGCCACTGCACCAGCCTGGGTGATAGAGTGAGATTAAAGAAAGAAGTAATTTACATAGTCATATCTTTGAGGC